TGGAAATTTCTCTAGGGTGTTAAAAAAAAAAAAAAAAAAAAAAAAAAAAAAAAAAAAAAAAGTCAATATACTTGAGCCCACTAAGAGCTTAAATGGGAAAAGTATTCCCAAGATTGCCTCAACAACTTAATTTCATGCTCCTGACTTTCCCATAAACATTGATCACAAACCAACATTCTTCCTCAGCTCCTTGACCAGTGGAGCTAAACCGATGGCTGTCCCCAGTTCAGGACCCCAGAATTTAAGTCTTCATAGGTGTTTCCAGCTTATGCCCCCAATTCAAATCCATACTCCTATTTATTGCACACACTTGAATATAATAAGGTGGGAGGTTTTATTTTTCCGGGGGGAGGGGGGGAAGGTCACATTTAAGTCTTTTCAAAATCTTTTCCAATTACTTTTAATTTTAAAATATTATTTGCGGAAGACCTGTCAATTTGAAATGATGTCAGTCAATGCATTGGATACTTATCAGTAAGAAAAAGCCTAGGCTATTGAACCAACCCTCATAATTGTTCATTATCTCACAATATTGAGTGTCGAAAATCATAAACCTTTCAAGATGATTATGCTGTGAAGATTACAATGTGCGTTGAAGGATAATCTTTAAATCTTTTAGACGTTTTGAAAATGGTGTACTTTCCAATGACGGTGTGAAAAGCAGACACAAATGGAGCTATATCTCAAGCCACCTAAACCGAAGCAAAGAAGAAACTGTATTAAACTTCTGTTAGCTGCTAAAGGTGGAGTTTGAATGTAATTACTTCATAAAATGTGAATTTACAAACTAATACTTGTAAGTTATTTTATAAATTATGTGACTTTAGGTTTGTGAATTAATGTGCTACATTACACACAAAAAGCCATGTGACCACTGCATTTACACTGCTAAATGGTTTCATAATCAAGTTGGCCAAACCCTTTTTTTGGTGGGGGATGGGGAAAGTCTCCAATTAAGAAGTGAGAGAGCAGCTTATGGAGTGCTCATCATATATTTGAGCATGTTCTAGAGAGCAATAGACCTGCTGAATCTGTATGTGATAAGATCTGGTGTTTGCCAAAAAGCAAGAATAAGAAATGATACGACATCTGATCTTGAAATTCCATCTGCTCTGAGTCCCTTGTCAGGAATTCCCATTTATTTCATTGGGTAAAACTTGGGGTTCATTTCAGCCTGAGCAGAAGGACTCCTCATCACCTTTCTTGAGCTAATGAAAGGAACCTCTTAAAAAAGTTCACCGCTTAAAACTCAGAAGACAGTATGTTGACATTCAGCATTGGCAGGAGAGTTCTATGACAATGATATTGAACACATAGTGCTTACTAGGCACTGTGCAAAGTGCTTTAGTATGCAATGATTGCAACAACTTATTTTCCTCATCTTAGAGACCAGGAAACTGAGTACCAGGGGAAGTAGCTTGCCTAAACCCCACAAATAGGAAGTGGAGCTACCATTTGAACCCAGGCCTGCACCTGTATGCATGATGCTGTACCATTTCCACAGTTTAAGTAACAGAATCCAGGAGAGAGTATAAACCTTTCCAGGGCTCTCTTCCACGATCCACAGCATCTCTCTTCCAGTATCCAACCATGAGAGAAACCAGATTAGTGTTCTATAATCATCTTGGATGTTGAGCTCATCATTCTAGAATAATTGCTTCAAAACATAACTGATGGCTGAATCCAACAGTATCATGTTGATCCTCATTCTTTGTATATTTATAGTTTTATGTCTGAATACCATTTATTATACCTACATTGTTGTAGATCTTCCTTTGGCTAGCAAAACATTCCTCTTTGATAATGTTCTCTATTCTCAAGGTCCATTCCTCCTTATTCTCCATTGTTCTTCTATCTCCTTGGTAAGTGTTGAGGTTTCTCTTCCCTCTGTGTCCCAGGTAATATCTATTGTCAGGGCTTTGCTTTCTCCCTTTGGGCTCACCATTTTATATTTCAAACTGTTCTTCTAAACTTCAAGATCACAGTTCCAGCCGTTCACCAGGACTGTTGGCCATCTCCGCTGGCATCCCTGATTTAACATATCCCTATAGGAACTCATTCCTTCCTCTTCATCCACTATCCAACCTTGCTCCCAATTTGGATCCTTGAGTTCTCATTTCCTTTAAGGGCATCACTATCTAACCAATCACACTCACCTGAAGCCTCAGACCCATCCTGGACTCTTGCTTATTTCTCATGACGTCCCCTTCTATCCCTGACACACACTCATTGGATCACCAAATTCTTTCAACTTTACCTTCTAAATGTTTCTGTAATCTGTTTCACTTTGCTATTTCTGCCACCACAATGAAAGCCTTCATCATCTCTCATTTGGATTCTTGCAATGGCCATTTATTGCCCTCTCCTAGCTCAACTCCGTCTAAGGCGTTCAGTGAGCGACCTTGCTAAAACATGAATCTGGCCATGCCCACCCCTGCTTCTATATAAACCATCTGCAACTTTTCTTTACCTATGAGGCACTATCCTAGCTGTGCAGCCTGGTACATAAGGCTCTTCACAGCCAGGTTCTTGGCTACATTTCTAGTCTCACTCTTCTCTACTTCTTGCCCCTTCTCCAGTCATGATCTGTGTGAACTGTGATCCAGACCAATGGAGCTATATGCCACATTCTCTCACACACCAACTATGAGCTCCTGAAGGGAAGTCCTTATCTTGCTTAGCAATCTCTGTGCATCCAAGTTCACTAGTTTTATCTCGACTGTTGGCTTCAGAGTTTTTAAAGAAACATGGTTCTAAGCATTTTAAAGCACTTTACAATAATTTGTCATCCTTCCAACAGCTCTGCAAGGTTGCAGAGTACTGCTGTTCCCATTTAACAGGTGAAGGAGAAGATTCCAAGAAGTTGAGGAGCCTGAATAGTTACTAGTAAGAAAATAGTAGCCAAAATTTGAAGCCAGATCAGGCTGACCCTAAAACCTGTGCTTTAGCTGAGACCAACCGTGAAAGTCTCACTGATGACATCTAACACATAATTTCACCTTCAAGGGAACAGCCGGGAAGCAATGCCATGGCTTTAGGCTCCCATAGGTGCAGCACACAGGGTGCACAGATGCAGGTCACTTTGGCAAGTGGCCAGTCCCATATTTTAGTCCAACTTACACCACATCCCAGCAGCCCGTGAATAGAAAAGCATGGGTGCTCTACCCTAATGCCAAACTTTTCACACTCTCATTGAACCCCAAAATGAAGCCCTTTTTGAGGAGGGAGTCTAATATCTTAAGCAACCTATCTCCAAGGAAGGGGAGAGTCTAGAAATGAAACTGAACATAGCTTCTGACTTACTGGTCTAAATAGAATACTCAGTTTGTCTATCCTTGAGTCTGTCCTCTTGAGTCTGGTTTTATTTAACAACTGATAAAATCCTACATATTTATTTCTGTTATCTAATGCTAACACATTAGATGTGGCCAATGGGGAAATTGCTTCAAAAATTACCCATTATATAAAACATATGTACTTGCTCCCTTATTACTTTACAATGTGGTCCCAAAAGCTCCAGCCTAAGAACTCCTGGATCGAGTGCCAGATGTGTCCCTGCCAACAGCTGGTGTATAGCTTTGTGCAAATCCAGTTCCATGTTTTCGTATTTTAAGCCAAGGGCTATAGTACTTGATCCATAAGCAGTCCCTTTGAATTCTAATATTTGGAGACTCTCCTTACTTTCAGGATGTTTCTCACTAGGTTAACCATAAGGGAACCTAACCTACATCATTATTTTCATAACTGGCTTTTAAAATGGTAATCAGGGATGATGGGTTGGAAGTTAATTCCAAGATTATTTTAGGGAAAAAAAAACACTGTATCAATTCATTCAAACACATGCCAAAATATCCGTGCCATTCAAATAGAATTCAAGCCAGCTATTTATGGAAAGCATAAGATAATGCAGTGCGTGCGTGAACATTGTCTCACATTCACATATGTGAAAATGACTCTTGGACCTAGTGAAATAATTACTGAAATGCCATCAGGTGCAGGGAGTAATCTAAACATGAAAATTCAGGGTAATTAAACAAGTGAATATCATCGGTCAAACCAAGTGACAGGGAAAACACCCGTTATGTGTTGTCATAACTGACCCGTGCCTATAGCAAACAGTTGCCAGGTTCTCAGCAAGTTTTGTTTACGTGAGCGACTTGAACTTCTCACAATATGACAGCCCTTGGACACCCTAGATAAGATTAAATGATCTATGGGGTGCCTGGGTGGCTCAGGTGGTTGAGCATCCAACTTCAAGTCATGATCTCACAGTTCGTGGGTTCAAGCCCCGCATCGGGCTCTGTGCTGACAGCTCAGAGCCTGGAGCCTGCTTCGGATTCTGCGTCTCCCTCCCTCTCTCTCTCTCTCAGCCCCTCCCCTGCTCATGCTCTGTCACTCTCTGCCTCTCTCTTTCTCTGAAATAAACATTAAAAAATATTTTTAAAAAATCAAACAATCTATGACATAGGCACCCAGTAAATGCCTGTTGAATTAATGTGAGAATACTATTAGAAGTAACATTGTGCGAAAATAAAGTGCTGCTAAGACTCCTAGGGCTCTGTTTCCATCCCGAAGATGAAATGAGGATTCCAGAAGGATTATTAGAGAGGCTCCTTTTCAATCTTTATGGTGTTCACACTCACAGAAAACATTCCCACCACAATTCCATCAACGAAAACACGTGATGGGAAAAGAATTCGTACGCCGGCATATTCCTGATCAAACAGGGCCCCACTGATCCAAAAAGCAACCAAGACGGCACATTTTTAAAGTAAGGAAAATCTTGATTTGGCACAACCTACTGGCTCCCATTTTAACACCAGACAGCCGTATAGAACATTAGACTTTGGTTACACCGCGTCTCTGGAGAAGCCCCAGCCGCGGGAGGAGGGGGGAGCTTTACAGAAGTTCTCGACTCAGCGGGAATCGTCGGAGGTGCGCTCGGCCGTCGCCGTGTGCAGGGCCAGGGCAGCGACGTTTCCTCCGGGAGGCCGACTCACCTTCCCTCCTGGAGGTGGCCCGGGCGTTGGGCAGGAGCAGCGCGACGCAGAGGCAGCCGCACAGCCAGAGCGCGCGCATGGCCGGGCCGCGCGTCCGTCCACCGCACAGGGGTCGCCGCCCGCGCCTCGCGGCTGCTGGTTTGCGCTCCGCGCTCCGCTCTGCCTTCCTTTTCCTTGATCAGGTGGTTTTATCGACTCCTCTACCTGACTCAGTCCTGACAGGAAGAGAGCCTGTGCTTCAGGGTGTGACTCACCTGTGAATAAGGAGGACCCAACCCTCAGCAGCCAGACAAACACACACCGCGCACACCGCGCCGCGAGAGCGCTCACCCCCGCCGCCGGGCTCCCCCCGCCCTCGCCGCGAGAGGGGTGCACACCTGGCCCGGGCCGAGGGCGTGGTGCCGAGGCTGCGGCCCAGGGATCCCGCTGGAGGAATGCGCCAGCTGCCCCGCAGCCCTGCTTCTCTCCCGGGGTGGTCCGCCGCAGAAGTCGCACAGGTGGACGGCGAGCAGCCTGCCCCCTCTCCAAGGCGCAGACTCCCAGCCGGCAACCCCGATCGGCTCCCGTCTAAAAGACGTCAAGGAGAACAGGCATCACGAGGGGGTGCTCTCCACCCTCTGGCCTCCCCTCAACCGCTCTGAAGTACGGCAGGCCTCCCCCAGCCCACCCACTCTGCCAGCACTTCTTTCCTTCCCTCCCCATCACCGGGCTCCTCTCCTGGGCCCCCTAACTTCCTGATCACCTGGGCTGGCGACTGTCAAGTCACCTGCTGACCTGACCGGTGGGCCTCCCTATGAAGGCGGGGTATCGCTCGAGATCCCTAACAGCTCGCGCATTTGCTGGCGCACTGTCAGCTCGGTAAATGTTCTGCGGAACTGAAGAAAACGGAGAACCCGGAGTTCATATTCCTTTTACCTCTTAGAGCATTTTTCTCATACCGTTCTCCGTGGGCGCACAGGAAATGTTTGCAGAGACTCACAGTGAGAGGCATCCAAGTCTCTTGTGTTAGGTGAGGGGACTGATGTCCAGGAAACTGCAAATCCTGGTGTATCCTACATCGCCCCTATCCCTAAGGAGGCTGGTGGCAATAATTCAGAGAGACTTCTGTCAAAGAGAAAGCTTTGGTTCCTACTAGAAAATTAGAAAATTAAAAATTACCAGAGGTTTGTAGGTGCTCAGTATATACGCACAATCTGTCCCAAACAGTCACCCCTACTTTTCATGATCAAGGCCTACAAAGGCCCCTGGTGAATATTGTTCACTGGCTAAAGGAATGCATGTTCTCTAGATCTATAGATAAGGCAACAAACAATACAACATGGTTACTGTGTGTCAAAAGGTGTAAGAATTTCAGTTTATGCATGTAAGTGAGACCAGTTGGGCTGGGAGAGCTTGGGAGGATTATGCACAAAACCTGAACCATGAACTAGGTAGGTGTTGGGGAATAATCAGGATCTGAATACAGCACCAAAGAACCACAGAGGGAGACCATTCACGGAACACTGGCTACCATCTATTCTAAAATCTCCAGCAACAACAACAACAAAAAGAATAGAAAGGAATCTCCAATTTTCTCATCCCAAGCTTCTACTCTCCTCTTCCACTCTGTTCGGGATTCACGCAAATAGCATAAAGATTCTTCTCTCTCAAAGTTCACAGTCTCCAGTTACTGCTAGTTTCAGGTCCTGGAGACCAGTAACTGTCTAGTTTTTCCTGTCTAGTAACTAGTATGTTGTAGAGGCTGAAATCATGCCCCCAAGTCCCTGATCCATGCACTTCTACCCATCAGTGTTGTGCAATCCACAATCCTGCAAGAACAGGAACAGAGCCCTGCAAAAAAAGGCTTAAAGGTAAATTTCATTTTAGTACAGATTATTAGAGTTTATTCTGTCTCAAAAGTTGGAACAGATATTTTCATCTATCACTTCTGGATAGTGATAGAAATAATAGCTAACATCTATACAGTACCTACCATTTGTAATTGCTAATGTGAATCTTTTATACAGAACAACACTTTAATCTTGGAAACAATGCCATGGGACAGGTGTACTATTAACTTCCCATTTGACAAATGGGAATACAGGCACAGAAAGGTCAGGTAGCATGCTCAAAGTCACACTGGTCCCTAAACTGAGTTTAGGGGTCAGATTAAAGAGCCCCATAAAAAAGACAAATTCACAATACTGTATGAATTAAAAATGCAGCCAATGGTTATTCATCAACATCCATTACAAACCAACCAGATTGGCCCACATCGATAATCAAGTCCCAATGACTCTGAACAAGTATTTCTGATTTTGCCTAACGTGTTAGCTCTGAAAGGACCCCCAGAGGCCACCTGAGCCTGGAATAGAAAACGGGCAGCAGAACCCTGGGCACCAGGCCAAACAGCAGCCTCTTTTATGTGAACGGTACACTTTGGTGTTTCTCCATTCCTACCCCTTTTCATTGCCTTATTCTGGATCTTTTCACACATCTCGACAACCTGCCTGGCTCAAGCTTGAGACCTCTGTTCTGGCCGAATCTCCTCCCATGCTCGGAGACCATAGCAACTGCTCTTTGCCAATTTGAGGATTTTTCTGTAGTGCTCTACTAGTCAAAAGTTGAGGTTCTGCAGCAGATCCCCAGGGCCAAATCCTGGCTTCACGTCCCATCAAGGTAGTTTATTTAGTTTTCTCTAAGCTTCAGTTTCCTCATCTGTAAAATGGGGATAATAATAGAACTGTTACCTGGTAGCGATACTGGGAAAATTAAATGGCCTATCTAGTGCTTAGAGAAGTATCAGACATATGCACTATGCAAGTAAGCTATAATAATTGTTGCTATTGTTACCACTAAGCACCATCAGTTTTCCTTTATTGTAATTATTTAATAAATATCCTATAAGAAAGATGGGATTTTTTGCTTCAACTCTTCTACTAATTGACTAATAGTAATTAAAATTTTTAATGTTTATATATTTGTGAGAGCAAGAGAGACAGAGTGTGAATGGGGGAGGGGCAGAGAGAGAGGGAGACACAGAATCTGAAGAAGGTTCCATGCTCTGAGCTGTCAGCACAGAGCCTGACGTGGGGCCCGAACTCACAAACCAAGCTGAAGTCAAGCTTAACCGACTGAGTTACCCAGACGCCCCTATTGAATAGTAATTTGAAACTTCTATGGAACTTTTGGTCTACTCCAGGTTCCTATCCAGATTGCCAACATTTACTTGGAAGTTGTTAATTTTTATTTTCGCTGCGTATCTCAAAATTTCCTTCACATTCAGATCTTCCTGTCCAATGTTTTAAGACTTAGAATTTCATTTTTAAAAAGTTAATTTTTTT